GTAACCAAACTTCATTGCATGTCAAAAGCTTTATTTTCTTCCTCGAGGCATTTAGTATTACCTGTGGGTGGGTACACCCTGCACTCCATTATGAAATACAGATGCAGCTTTTCAGTGTGGGTCAAAAATAGCTGCTTCCACAGCTCCCCTCAAAAGTGCCCTGTACTCACTGCTTGAAAATACTTTGCTGACAACAAATCAGGAGCTTTTAGGAGAAGAAAAAATGTGCTCTGCATCTAAGGCAAGGAAATTTCCATATCACTGGGTCTCGGGAGAAGAACACGGTGATCCAGGAGGTGGCCACGCTCAGGAAATTAGAAGATCATCAGGCACATTGGAGTTATTTTCAGAGAGAAATGCCAAGAGCAGTGAAATACACCTACAGTAGGTGCCTTTGTGGTTAGAGAGAGGTACATACAAAGATGAAATGGCACTTTGCTGCTTCATATGTCCCATAAGTAACTCAAAATACTACACATGATCTTAATCAGTAGTTATGTAGGGTGCTGCTGGCTTCCTTCCTCCTCACCTCCTCCCTTCTCCTCCCTCAGGCCATGCCAGGTGACAAAGACTCTATAATGCTGCCAGGTCTAGGTCAAATTTGTTAAACACTTTTAAAGCATTACAAGGATTTTTATTTTTTTTCCAATTAGCTTCTTACTCAGCTGAGACAATATTTATCTGCTAAAGAAGTCATATGGTTATTTTTTTTAAATGGCATGTTTTCTTTTGCAAAATATGCACTTTGATTTAACCGCCACTACAATATGGCCAAGAATTCACATTTCATTTCCTATGAAAGACCATCTCATAATATCCACCAGGACCCTACTCTGTAAATGGAAATAGCCACTACCCTGTACTACTCACATCCTTGAGAGAAATCTATGTGGTGACTCCCTTCTCAAGCACTTTGGCCCAACTCCAGTTAGGACCTGTTGTAACTCACAAGTGTAGGCATATGAGTAAGGTAGTTGTTTTTGTGACAAACAGCTGTGTTCCACTGAGTATGAGGTGAGCAAGAGGCAGCCTCTTTTGGTGGGTTTCAAAGAAGAGAAAGGTAGGCTGAAGAAGAAGAGAAACAAGTGTACAGCCTGACTCCCAGATTCCTGAAGCCCCACTGAGCCCCTCTCTTCCATAACTCCCAGCTTCTCCCAGGACACCAGTGACCGTTCATAGCCTTCCCACAGCTGGAGCAGAAAATTTCAGCTTTGGCAGCATTGTATGTTTGAGGGCCTAGACACAAAGCATGGCTGGGGCTGCTCTTGGACCCTTTGGTCACCAGATGACCTTCAAGTGTCCTAATGTGTATACTGCTATAATATTTTTTAAATTGTCATCTGAGTACTCACTACAAAATCCAACTACTACTTAGGGTTCTTTGAATTGATGATAGCATTATGAATCACTCTGCCCCAGTGATCCTGTGCTAATTGCTTTAATCACTTTCTGCAAAGTCTCATCTTCACCATTAGTCCTGAAACTCAAAATAATTTGGCCTGAGCCATGGTAGGATTTTCAATTTTGCTGTATTATTATTATTAGTAGTAGTAGTAGTAGTGGCAAAGGTTCTAGATAGGCTATGAAACCACCCAATCACTTCCATTTTGCAAACTCTCTTCAATTTACAAACCATATGGCTGTAGATTAAGAAAGAAAGAAAGAAAGAAAGAAAGAAAGAAAGAAAGAAAGAAAGAAGAAAAAAAAAGGAAAAGGAAAAAAAAAAAAAAAAGAAAAAAAAAAGGCTATATACCAACAAGGAAAAGAGGGTTTGCAAGATCCTTTGGGGACTGGGCACACCATCCAAGGCCAGGATTGGGGACTTGATCATTTCAGGCAGCAGAGGCACTGCCTGTGAGATTGGACTCCCCAGTCATCCCAGCCAGGGAGAACAGGCCAGTGCTTCCTGCTCCCAGGAATGCTGTGACAACCAGTTTTGGGTGATCTTCATGGTGCACTTGACTCCTTCTCCTAGAGGAGCACACATTTGGTAATGGTCCTCCAGCCATCGTGCACGCCTGATCTGCTGGAGTGCAGATCCCAGATGAAGTGGTCTTCGTTCATAGTCTTTTTATTGGAATAATTAATAGGAATTGTTGCTCAACATAAAGCAGTCAGATCTAATTGACATATGCTGAAGGCTGATGAAGAAACCCAGCTTTACAGAGGACAACTCCTCCCCATTTCCCAATTAATTCTGCAGCACTGAATTAACAGATGCACAGAGTCAAAGGCCAAAAATCTCATTTTCTACTAAATTTTCTGCTAGTTCCTACAAAGGATGGGGAAAGCACTAAAAATAATAATTACAGTATAATTCAGAACAGCAGTTGACAAAATATCTTCTTTTTTTTACTCCCTCTTGGTGGTTTGGTGGGGTTTTTTTAGCGTTGTGGCTTGGCATTATTAGCAACAGAATTTCTTTATGATCTTAAGTAAACCGAGTGGCTTTTTTTAACAGGGGAGAGCTTCAGTCTCAGGCATCACTAGGTGGAGGCATTGCACAGTGCAACGCTGGTGTGGCTCACTGCTTTGGGGTTACGGGACCCCCACAGCCACTTCCTAATGGCAGATGCTATTACTCCCTCACCAATCCTCACCCTGGGACCCCTAATCTTTCCCATCCTCAGTTGTCTGCCCTCTTGGACACGATCCTTTCCTCAGTAATAAGCCACTTTATCTCCTAATTTAGGTACCAAACTAACTTTATGGCTCAACCCTCCAAAGATGTCAAACACACGAAAGTTAGCAGCTTTTAGAAAGTGACAGCAGACGGTGCTGGCACATCCTTGGCTCACTTAAATACATACATGTACTAAGCCATTCAGATCTAGGCTGAGGAGACATATTTTTTATGAAAAATTTGGCTTTTCTTGCAGAAGTCAGCGTGTGGTCTATTCTCTTCAGTCCCTGAGGAAAGTCAAGTCGCGTTTACTCTAAAAATACAGGAACCGGAGCCAGATATCAAGCAGAACCAGATGTCACGACCCAGAAGAGAGCGTACACAGATGGCAGGGCGACATATGGCACACAAGTTCTTTCCCACTGTGAGTGTCCCTGTCAAGACAGCTCCTTAGCTTTTTCACTATTTGTTCCTGTAGGCAATATGTAGGGGAGTTAACTGCCAAATTTTCTTCTGTTTTAAAGGGACAGATGAACCTTATTTTTTGTAGCTCCCAAATACCCTGCTTATTTGCCATTGCAGAAGTGAGAGAATTTATAACCTCCCTTACTTGTCTGTAACTTCTTTATTCCTACAAAGACGCCTTTGTCCTGCCACTTCTCCTATGCTCCATTTGAAATGATGTGGTTGTGGCACACCTCACCTAGAAAGTACAGACCTAGTTGATAGAGTCTGAGTGTGCTTCCCTAAGAGTGAGAGGTTGGGTAAGAAAAGTCCCTCCCCAGCCTTCCTGTAGCCCCTTCAGCCCCTTCAGGTACTGGAAGGCCGCTATAAGATCTCCCTGGAGCCTTCTCTTCTCCAGGCTGAACATCCCCAACTCTCTCAGCCTGTCCTCATAGGAGAGGTGCTCCAGCCCTCGGATCATCCTCGTGGCCTCCTCTGGACTCATTCTAACAGGTCCAGGTCTCTCTTGTGTTGGGGTCCCCAGAACTGGATGCAGTACTCCAGGTGGGGTCTCACCAGGACAGAGTAGAGGGGGAGAATCACCTCCCTTGACCTGCTGGCCACGCTTCTCTTGATGCAGCCCAGGATACGGTTATTGGCCTCCTGGGCTGCAAGCGCACATTGCCGGCTCATGTTGAGCTTCTGATCCACCACCACTCCCAAGTCCTTCTCTTCAGAGCTGGCCTCACACCACTCATCGCCCAGCCTGTATTTGTGCTTAGATAATGTAAGAACATACTTAACTTCAGAAAAGAACAAAAAAAGCATTTTGCATTCAGATGATGCTCTTCAAAGCTGGAGGATGAAAACTTTTGTCACTTCAGATGACCTTGAAAAGGAAGCAGTATGTCATCTTCTCATGGTGATGCACACAGAAAAATGGACTGGAGTCCAGAAATACCAAGCTACTCCCGAACAGGCTGATATAGCCACATGCTTCTAATTTTTTCTTTCCCAAGTAGACAAAATGTTATTTCTTGCCATCAGCATGTGGTCATGTTTCAGAAGTGTCCATTTTCCACTCTCTCCAGGATGCCCAGCCCAAGTACCATCCTTTGATAGATTCTCAGTGAATTTCTGTCCTTGTAGTTAGCAGAGCTGAGACACGGAATGAGAACATCTGGTTTCCAGAGTAGCAGCACAGTCTAGAAAGCTTCCAGTTTGCAAGAAATAGGAAACATTTTCAGTTTCCTCACCATTTCAAGAGACTGGGTTTAGAAACAGCCCATAGATCGATATCACAGAACTATTCAACAAATGTCTAAAAAGCCAAGGATTCAATTTGCTGAATATATTTGGTACCAACTGTTCAGCTGAAACACATTTAGTGCTGTGAAGAGTTTTAAATATATCTGCTATGTCATATATTCCCCCAACCCCTTCAAGAAGCAAGGACAAGGCATGTTGCTCAGGAGGGGACCTCAACGCTTGCACAGTGCATATTCTTGCAGTAATGAGGAAGTCAGACAATCATGGAGAGGAAACAAGAAGAGGAACAGAATGACTAGGAAAATGCTGATGACAGAAATAGATTTTTAATTTACCAACAGCAGTTTCAAATTTAAAAAGTGGATTTCACAGACTTCTGTGAAATATCCACGCTGCTTCAGTGGATATTACATTTATGTGGACCACAACTATTTAATAGTCTACCACCTCATATCTCTGTGAGACTTAAACAACAAATCGTGTCACTATCCAAAACCCAGAACAGAAACAAAGTTGCACAGAGTTTTTCTTTTATGTATAATTTGGGGAAGGGATGAGTAGGTTTTACTCCTTGAAGAAAACATTTACTTTGTAATATAAATAATTTGTTTAAAAAAAACACATTTCAGAATTACCTTCTGAGTATCATTTTAATAAGTGCATCTTAACTTCCCTTTGCTGAAGAACTGTTCGAACTTAGGGGCAACAAATACACTTCAGAGTAAGATACCTTTTTCCTGGATGGCATTTGGTAGCGCACATTTTTCCAGAACCTTGTATTTGCTGAACAAGATTTCTCTGAAAAGTCCCCTTTCCATTGGATAGCTCCATGTTTTTGCTTAATGTATTGGATTGATTCTGGCATGCTTGTGTAGTCCTGTATTTCATCCATTTCTATAAGAATCACTTGAATCCCATCACGGATGAGAGCATTATGCACAGCTAGTTGCTGTTCAGAGGTGTCTTCTAATAGGCAGCAACTAGATGTTTCTGATCCCAAAACAATCATCAGTCTTCTGCTTTGCTTCAGGGTTTCATCAGCAACACTGACCACAGCTGTAAGTAATGAAGGAATAATCAAAGTTTGCATAGAAACTTTACAACTGATGTAAAATATTTCTTAATTTTAAAATTGCATATATAGGGAGCAGTGGCTAGTTCAGAGGACTGGTAGGTTTAAGATCTCCCAACTGTCCGTGACCCATTGCATGAAATTACTGATAAAATTTGTTTTCTTCAGTCTCCAGGAGCAGGCATTTTTCAAAAAACATCCACAGTATTATTAATGCTGCTGAATCCTCATTTGTTCATCACTAAAAAGAAAGTGCAGACTCTCATAGAAACAGAATTCTTGGTAAGAAATTTAAAAAAATAAAATAAAATTATCCATCAGACAAATGGAAAAATTAACAATTAAAAATAAAAAAATACAGCTTTGTTTTCCAAAAATAAGCATTTTTTAATTGTATATATAATCTTCTAACCCAAAAACAATGTGTCAAAAGACAACCTATTAACTCTACTAATTAAAGTATACCTTCTCCGGGTAAATCATCCCTTCCCAATATAAAGAGATTATAGCCACATTGTTGCTCTAAAACATCAGGGAGTATTCTACGAACAAAGGTTTCCAGATGAGAGAAACTTCTGTCTCCACTGCTTTTTGCATACAGGACATATGCATCGTAGATTTTCCCATCTAAAACAAACACAAATGTTTCTATTAAAAAAATTAAAATCAGCAACATGCCTTTATTGTAAGGCTTCATTTTGGATAGTTTAAAAATAGCAACAGGGAGCTGATTCACCTATCTGACAGAACAACATCAAAGCACTAAAATGTTCTACAAATCAAACGCAAGATGATCAGCCACAGAACCTGACTTTTTTTCCCATCATGGGGATGTATGTGCCAGCAAGTGAGCTGGATGCAGGACCTGGGACCTGCAAGAAGGAGACTCAAATGCCAGAGGTGCCAGGACATTAAAAAAGTGTCCTCTTGCAGGACTTCCTTCACCACCTCTCCTGAAACAAACTCAGCAGTATTTACCTCTACTTCTGACTAACCAAAAGGGAGGGTGGAAAATGGTAATTCTTTCTTGTAATAACATTGTGAGAGAAAGGCAGGTAGAAGAAAAGGCCAGAGGGCAGCTGAAGTTTTAAGAGTTAAAACTGCACAATAAACAGGAATGAAGAAACCAAATCAAAATCAGATTTAACTCAAAAAATTAAGTTTAGCTCAACAAGATACAAAATATTGTTTCTTTGATTTTTTTTTTCCCCCATTAGAACTCTATATGGTGTTCTGGGAAAACCGAACTTTTAACCAGAAGTTGAAATTACTTTTCTGTGAAAATATTTAGAACATCCATGAGTAAAGACTAACTACCTTGATGCTCATAATTGATTTACTTTCAAGCTATGGGGAAGTTTAAACAGACTAATTCTGAGGGCTGACACACAAAATATCTATAATGTTAAACTTACTCCAATTTTTTCACAGCTGTCCAATGTATTTGTCTACACCACAGAAATCAAAACACGTAAGAAGAATCACAGAATACAGAACTAGTAGCATTTTTTTCTCTTTGGCATGTAAACATCATAACTGACAGGATTTAGAAAGAAAATGTTGGGTAAAAGAGAGAAGTTGAAAAAAAAAAAAAAGAAAACTAACAAAATTAATCTCTGAGAAAATGAGAGTCTGATTTTCAATATACAGGTTTAATGCATATCTTTAAACAGCTAGTTTACAGGATGTAGCTCTGCTGACACCTATTGATCATCATTAGAGTGACCATAAATCTACATGTAAAGAAACTACTTTACAGAAAAGCGAAAAACAACGTGGTAATTTGGGAAAAATCTGGAGTTCTTTTGACCTATGTCACCATGACTGCCTTCAATATTATGCAGTGTTTATTACCCCAACTATGATTATATATTTTACCCATATGACTGAAAAAATCCCCCCAGAAATGTCTTTGTGCCTACCTGAAAATTCCTTGAGGAAATTCCACATACATTATAATAAATAATCACATTATCGCTCAGAAGTAATGGCAAGTGAAAAAAATCAATAGGCTGGTTACACTAACATACCTGGTCACACTCACATACCTTCCTTACTTGCAAAGGCACAGAAAGAATTACGGTACCAAAGCACCAAGTCAACTTTGAAAATCTTGTAGATTATTAAAGTAATAAATGTTAAAATTAACAAAGAGATGAGCCCTCCAGTCAGCCATCTTCGTATATCAGGAACTGCACAAAAATATAAGAAGATTATTTTTTAAATGTTGAATTTGTCCAAGTCTGATCTTTCACACAAATGTAATACAATTTTTACAATACAGTAATTTTCATATCATATTTTTCACTTCTATCTACCTATTTTTTTAATAATGATAAATACAGTATTACAGTGACTCCTTCCCTATGCACAGGTGCATGCATACATACTGCAAACTGTAATCCATCTGTCTTCTATCAACATGGTACATGACCATTCAGCATCAAAACCCCTTCTGGGGAAGTCAAGACAAGCAGAGGCCTCAAAAAGAACAGTATTTCTTACCTCTGTGTTTTAATATAATATAGGATGCAACCTGCCCAAAGGCATTTGAAGCTTGACAGACAAACGGTTGTTCATAATCTTCACTATTCACTTCCAAAATTACTAGCTTCACTGAATGCACGGGGCGTCCATCGTAAGAAGTTTTCTCCCTATCCAAAAAGCAACAAATAGAGCCATAAAACCACAGGCCTTTCTGGAATGGTTTCACCACTAACAGCTGCAGCACGACAATGGTTGTTTCCATCTGCAAATGTCAACCACACTTCAGAATAGACAAGCAATTACATTACATGAAGGAAACCCAAACAACCCAGGGCCTCTTACCGACATTAAGCATAGACGTTGGAAAACATCAAGACATTATCTTATCTGAAGCTGTGTTTCTCCAAAGGAATATAAGGTTTCTGTAGGCCAAAATACAAAAATATACCTTACAGACCTGAGCAAACCTTGTTTATGGGCTTCCCACCCCCTGTAAAAGTAGGTGGAGACAGAGAAATTCCACAACCTGATATGACTCAGAAAGGAGCCCTGGTTCAAGGGTGTCATCTTGAGGTGAGCAGCTCTGCGACACGGAAGACAACAAAGGTGGTGACCCACAGCAGACACCACCAACTCACAGTGCGTTTACAGCTTCAGGGAGTGGACTCTAAACTGCTGCTTTACTCCATGGATTAGAACAGTCTTGTAACAGCTAAAGTGTCAGGCTGCACCATTAAGAGACACAGATTATCCCCCATACATTGTACAAGGGCAGAAAAATGCTCATTATTCTGTGCATTCAGTTAGTCATGTGCACTGTGATGTGTGACTGATGTGTGAACTACACAACTTTTTAACCACCAGCAAAACAAGGGATACCACTACCGTGTTAACAGTAGATCTCAAATGGAAAATTAACTATAAAATTAACTAAGCCAAGCCCTATTCTGTCCTGAAAACATATTCTAGTTACCATTTAAAATGCAAAATAAAAGCCTGAAATACATCATAAAGGGCATATATAGGACCACAAGAATCACCTTCTGAGCAAAAAGTTACAGTAATTTAAACACTGTAACAAGGAACAAATGAATCAACATCACTAATGCAAATGACTAATGGTTGCAAAGGTGACCATTTACATGCTAAGAAGTACAAAGAATAACATTGCTTTTATGATATCAAGTCAGTCACTGTGTGCCTCTGCATTATGGCCTAATTGTTTATGGCATGACTTTCTTTATGACAGTACAATATATTACTTTTCTATAGGGTTTTCTCTTGGTGAGTGCTCAAAGAATTCAGCATTTTGCTTTCCCCTTTGTTTTATGATGAGGATATATTTCTCACAACTATATTCTTACTCGGAAGATATTCTCATTTCTTCATCAGTTTCTCTCTTACAGATAGTGCTTGAAAACTTACAAAAATTATCACCTCCACCACCATGAGACAAGGGCTGACAAAAAACCTGCAATTTTTAGTTCCAAACCTGTCATTCCTAAGAAACTTTCAGATTTCTTTCTACTCCAATTTTAGTTGCTTTTCAAGTCAGGTCTACTTTTTTGTCTCCTAACTCCATTTAACCTGCTTTTGACCCTCACCTTATCTCCCAGTTGCTCTTTTCATGCTTTACTCAGTCCAAGTCCATTTTACTCCCAAAACCCAACTCATCACTGGAAATCTGGCTCCCTTTTCTCCTCTCACCTCACTAAACTTCAGTACAAATGTCCTCAACAAAGTCTTCCAATAGCTCTTCAGCTGATCTCAGTTACATTTCTCTAACTCAGGGCTCTTAAACCTGGAAGTCCCAATTTCTCCTTTAAAGCACAGGTTTGACCTCTTGCAACCTTTCAGAGATGCAGGTGTGAAGGGAAAGGAGAACGCAGAAGAAAGACAGTCTGAAGATCATATGCCTGGACATGTTTGATCCAGCTGGAAGAGGTCTCTGCCAGGCCAGAGCCTAATCAATAGAAACTGTATTACAATTATGAGACTGTAAGTCTGCAAAACACTTTTTCCCAAGGCTGGAAATTAAGATGGATTTTAACAATGACCAAAAGGAGCACAATTACATGTGAAGTCCATGTGCCTACTATGTTTCAAGTTTCTGCTTCAAAGTAGAAAGTGAATCAGAGGAGGCAAGCATTAGTTTTTAAAAAGAAAGCTATTTAAGCATGAAAAATGTTGCCAAACATTTAATGTCAAAGGGATAAAGTATCACTTTGGTTGCCAACATGGTATTTTCTAATCTGAAAATGTACTTACTCATAGGGACTTGCAAAAATTCTGCTCATATGAAATACATCAATATACACACCGTTGCCTGTCCAAAACACCTCATACCCATCAGCACCTGTTGTATTGCAATCCACTGTAACCTGTGAGCCTAAAAATTGTGTTACAAAGTGAAAAGTTAATTTCCATAATCTAATTAAAGTCTATACAATTCTGTTCACAGACTCCCACACATACTAGCTAAGGATGATCCCACACCCTTTCAGAAAATTTACTCTAACAGAGGGTCTATGTATTCAGTGATCTGCAGGTTCAGAAAGAGACTGGGTAGGACAGAAGATACTAAATCCAGGAAGAAGATGCCCCTCTCTGGGCCATCACTTTCCCTGCAGATGCAAAGATGGATCTGTTCCTAGAATCTCCTCCAGAGTGATGGAAAGCAACAGACGTGAACAGAGAATCACTTGGGTTCCCTACGATTTTCTTCACATCTGAGAAATTTCCCTAGGACTTTGCAAGCAACATGCCTTATCCCTCCCTCACACCCCCAAACACTCCATAAGACCAACACAGAGAAACTGAGCTGGTCACTGAACTAGTTTTGGTCAAAAAAAACCCACAATAAAACACAGAATATGGCATTCTTAAAGTATAAATTTTCACTAGGATACAAAATGATATTTACTTACAGAGAAAACTACTTACCCAGTTCCACTTCAATTGAGTTGTTTCTTGGATAAGATATTTCTGGGGGCTTTTTTGGTGGGCTCACTAACCAAAAGAAAGAAAGTGCTTTTCAGAAAACCAGAGGCAGCTGAAGTCTGTTCTATGCTCTGTAACCCAAGAACAACCTAAAAAACCCCTGCCCTATGGACAAGGTTGTCAGCAATTTTATAGCAGACATTACTCAATATTGAAAGTATCATATCTCAGGTAGTCATTACTTCTGACTTGAAGTTAAATTATTCCTCACCCCACCTCTTCCAAAATGTAGTGCCACAAATCTCCACACATTCATGGTGGACTGGCTCTTCCATGGCATAAAAACCTTGTAATATTGCATGCACAGGTGCTGAGAAAGGTATGGGTAAATATCTACAGTATTATCCCTCTACAGTCTGAGTAACCTGTCACCCTGCACCCCACAGATGCAAACTGGAGCCAAATGCTTTTAGAGTGCAATTCAGCTATTTTAGACTTCTACTATTATAAATGGGAAATTTAGTTTCTGTACTTTAGTTAAAGGCCTTACAATTCTTCCCACAGCACTATCTATAAGGAAGTACAACACCAGTGGGCCCCTTTTAGATGTTTACATTAGGACTAGATATATGACACTCTGGAAAGCTTATTTCTCTCTAAAGGCTACAAAGGGAGTGTAATCAACAGGTGGAGATCTAGACACCCACATCAGAAATGTCTCAGTATGGCTAAATGAATCCCAGCTTGGAAGGTTCCTCACTGAACACACATACCACTTCCAGCTGTCTCAGGCAGCTGTAGGACATTTTAGAACATTTCCTATCAGATATTCAAAGTTTAAGGAAGTTTCTCCAAGAGCACAAATTAACAAAAAGAAATCATAAAGCATCTTGTTTGAGCCCCGCAGTGAAGCACACAGCATTGCCCCAGATATATCCTCCTTTTCCCCTTCTGAAAACTGGGTCTGCACTATTGTTTGGACCCCAAATCACCCACTGCAGTATAGACTTGCTCAGCTGGAGTCTTTAAAAATAACTGAGCTGCCTTCAGTCATTTATGGCAAACGAGTGATACAAGTTTGCTTCCACCAAGTAGCGGGAGCTGAAATCACAGTAAGAGAGAAGTTCTAGGGACAGATTTTAAGACCAGAATTATTATTTCAACTGATCTGACTTTGTGTTCCTCATATGTTGTTTAACCATATCATATACATATAACATTATATGAATATGATACATATCATATACATAAATATGTACATACATATGTATGCATATATATACATAGACAGACAAAACAGGCAAGCACAAAAAGAGACCATTAAATAGTAATGCAATCTATGTAGTAAACTTGAAAATATCATTCATCAGCTGGAATGTAAACACAGTATTGTCATTTCATACCTTGATATAGCACAGCCTTTTCAGTGATCTGATATCAATCTCATAATGCTGTGCTAGCAAAGGAGTTCACGTTTCACAACTAGGCTTCTTTTATATTTTTATGTTATGCTGGTGGCCCCCCAACATAAATCAGGGTCTACTGAGCTAGACACACAATATCAGAGATCAGCAGCTGTTGTGCTGAGGAGCTTAAAAACAAAAACAAAAGAGATGAAGATTTGAAGGAAACAAATAGGACATGCAGAGTTAAGACACTGCTGTAATTTGAGATGGTTTAGTTCATTGTTCTTGCATTAAGAGGATAATGTAAAAGAGAGAGAGGTAAGATGGGCAGGATAGAGGGTGTAGCTACAGCAGAGTATTGTGCCTACCAAGCCTTACAGGGCATCTCTTTAGAGACCTTGGCAGTTGGTCTGGGCAGCAAAGCTTTGACATACTGCAACCTTGAACAGGGGAACAATTTTTCAAATACAGTGGCAACAACAGTCTCAGTCAGCATTTATTTCCCTCACATTTAGGTGAAATCCAGTAGCCCTAAGCATGTCTATCCACAAATTTTAGCTTTAGTCTTTAGAAACTTGAACAAAAACTTGGAGTCATTGTTATGAACATAAACACAGTGAAAATACCTACTCACCTTCTACAGTCAGACTGATGTCTCGTGAGATGTTATACTGTTTTCCGTTGTAGGTATACGTCGTTTCACATGTGTAGTTTCCTTGATCGTGAACACTCACATTGAAAATGATAAGGTCACTGTTTAAGAAGTCAAACCTTCTCCCTTTCAGCAGCTGGCAGTCCTAAAGGTGTATAGAGAACTCTGTTAATTCATATCACTATCTCTTTCCATGGTTTGTTTGTCTTTAATGCGATCCAAACTTTCAATGGACCACAGCATAAGGATGGATGCCTTGCAGAGGCTGAGGAAGAGTGAGGCGGTAGAGTAAAAAGCTTAACATACTTAATTTTGGCTCTGAGTTTTTAATTCAAAGATACTCCAGTTCATTTCCTATAGAAAACAATTTTCAATATTAAAAAAAAAAAGAAAGTGAAATACAAGTGTCAGGATTTGTAAAAGTATTCATGAATGAAGAATGACTCAATAATTAGACTTAATTTTTTAAAGTATTTATATACTCTTGGCACCGTATGGACTGCACGATCACGAGACAGGAAAGCCACAGAAGGCACTACATTCTTGTAACAGAAAGAGCCTTTAAATAATCGTGAACAATATGAAATGGCCTTTATTTAATGCAACAATACTGAGCACATAATGGCTATGCCATCTCTCACAAATGACATACTAAAACTGTTTCTGCACAAAAGAAATACACAACGGTGTTTCGTTAGCAGGTAAGAAGTTGACATCTGGTGGATACGTGGGTCAATGCCACCTACATCTCAGCTGAATTTTTACTCCGTTAATCAAAAAACCTGCATACACCTTTAAAAGATAAAAAGTCTTAATGCTCTCCCAGTTTATTTTAAAAGCATTTTTCTCGCATTTACAATAAATATTTAGTTTTTCTCTTAAAATTCACAAACATCAGTGATTTCTATTTTAAATAATCGACAGTTATAAGACAGTACAAACCACAGCATTCTCACCTTATACCAACGAACAGGCTGGATATTCTTCTCATTCCTGAAATAATCCAAGTGTGGACACACAACCTTTGCAGATGATAATGTGAATATCACCTCCTCTACAGCAAATTTTTCATTTAAGCATAAACCATCAAGCCTCTCAAAAACTGTTACCTTTGTCCTGAAGCTTGTCAAATTCCTGCAAATTAATATAATATAATTAAATTAAGCTATTTGGCATATTTTCCAACTCGAAAATATATGGTATTCTTTCTGGAGAAGAAAGAGAGGATGAGAAGTTTACAGTTTCTTTAATAGATTTACTTTGGCCTACTAGGAAAAAAACCCAAAACCAAACTAGACTTACTTTCCCCAACCTAAAGTTAGTTTTTGTGAACGCGCTCTCCTTTCTTCATTATTATTTCTCTTACCCCCCAAATTCTACTTGCTTTCTAAAAGTTATTTCCTTTGCAACTCATTCCAGTAGCAATGTAATTTTTTTTTAACTTTCACCTTACGACACATTCATAATCTCCAGAATCTTCTAACACTGCAGGGAGAAACCAAATTAAATTCTTCTGCTGATGAATTCTAGAAAGTCTGTCTCTAGGCACAGCTGTCTGGTTACCAACTTTATACCATGTTAAGTTGTAGTCTCCACTTTGCAAGCTCTTTTCCAGTGAACATTTAATAGCAAGAGGTTGCCCATCAGGCACAAGACTTTGCCTCAGCATCACATCATAGGCATCACATTTCTCTGAAGGAAAGAGATAAACATTAAAGAAAACTTCAAACACTGTAAAAAGATATACTGAACTCATTTCTTGATTACATTTACATAGTTCATTGGAGTTTCCACCTCCATTCTTAAGTCATCTGCTAAAAACACAATTATAATCCCTCGTCTTTACAGTTTAGAGTACTACTCAGTGATATACAGTTATAGTTACACCACTGAAATGAAAGGCTGGTTTTTGAATGCAAACTTCACACTCAACAGGATCTCTTCATTTGCAGCAGACTGACATTTGTATGTTTCAGTTCAGATGCAAATTACTAGAGTACTTGTACTTCTCTAGTCCACTTCATGTGCACACACACAAGTACACACATCCACACTCAAATTTCACTTTTAACGCCTTTATTTGTAAACTTCACTTAACTGTAGTTGAAGTAAGTCTTAAAGACAGACCACGTTTTCAGTACCCAAATGTCATAAGATGACACTGAAGATAAAGTTGCTATTGCACAAAGGTGAAGTTTGCTATGGAAATTTCAACTTACCCTTCACTTCATGAGTGTTTAGAGAGAAATTATTACAAGCACTTATCAATGAGCTCATTTGCTGTCCCTTGGACCCAAGGAGATTCACACAGGAAAAGAGTAACACCACAAGATTATTTTTTTTTTGTCAGTACAACAAAAAAAGGCACCAATTCAGCAATGTGGCCCTGGCATCCAGAGTCAGTATTCTATTTGCCTAAAATTCCTCATGTTGTTAGAATGTAAGAACAGCCACAGAGTCATGCAGGCGTCTGTCTAGCCCAAAACCCAATCTCTGATAACAACCAGTGAAAAATGTGTAAGAAACAATAGTAGGACAGACCAAGACGGTAATGCTTTGCTTTTGGCCCCATTCTTTTCTCTCATGTTCTGCACGAAAAACTATTCACTGGCTTTTATCATTTCTCTGGGTATCATTTACTTCTTGTGATGAGAAATGCCAAAGTAAACATACCCTCATCTGTCTACTCTATGGTACTGATGAATTGATAGACCTCCATCACATCTTGCTTCAGCCATCTCTTCTCTTTAACTCGAGTCCTCATTCATTTAATGACTTCTCATATGGAAGCCATTTAATATCTGACAACACTGTCACTCATCTCTTCTACCTTTTCTGATATAGTCTTTCTGAGATGGAATGACCAGAGCTGCAGAGTTCAATCAATTCACATTCACCATGGTGTTACAGAGTAGCATAATGAAGCTTTCTGTTTGCTGCTCTACTCCCCAAAAATTCTGCTTTTCTGACCACCACTGATGAGAGAGCTAATGCTTCAATGCTTCCACACAGCATTCCAGAGACACCGAAGTAGTATTTTCCGCAAGTGGTTTTTAATTAACTTATTGTTCACACCACACACATACAATATGCTTGTTTCTGCTATATGTGTATGACCCTTCCATGCCCCTACACATTCATCTGATTTTAGTTACTGACATTCTATCACTAAACCATTCAATATCCAGACATCCACTTCATAGTTGGCTTTAGTTTTAACCACCAGGGATAATTTCATATGATCCACAGTTCTCACCACTTTGCTATAAATCTTTTCCAAATTACTTATCAAAACACTAAATTGCTCAGCTATCTGTATTGAATGTCCCAAAATAACTTTGATGATTATGAAACATTGCAGCCACAGGGACTGACAAACTTTTTCTGCCACTAAATGCTAATACTCTGAATAGGGTCATTTTTTACACACTCCTTACCTCAGCTTCTCTGAAATCCCCCTCCCCCAATGCCCTCCATTATTTCCATGGAGCAGGAAAGAATTATAAAGTACACATGTAACTGAACAGACAATAGAACTCTGCTATTGGGGGGAGGGCAGCCAAATAATCACCTTTCCATACAACTACTTAGGCAAAAAACAGACTATCCAGTGAACTGGTGAACCTTGCACCTTGTCCATCCATGGGCAAAAAAACCCCAAACCAAACCAAATCCAAACCATTTCCAACCAAACTCAAGGAATGGCAAGTTATTAAGTTTCTCTTTTAACAGTCTGGCACTGCTCTAAGATTCCAGGTGGAATGACAAGATTGTAACAGCAACTCACTTGACCCATCTGAAATGTTCTAAACTGGATTGTTGGTTGACAGCTGAAGGGCAGAAACTGAGGAGTCTAACAATTATACAAAAATCTCAATGTTATGTTATTGTCAAATGGCTGTATTTTCCAATATGAAAAAATCCTAAGGACACACTTTGTAAAGTTAAAACTACAATTCATTTCAGCACTTTATACACCAGAGAGTCAAGCTGCCATTCAGAAGAACCTCGACAGGCTGGAGAAGTGGGGTGGGCTGACAGGAACTTCATGAAATTCAATAAAGGGAAATACCAAGTCCTGCATCTGGTGAGGAATGACCCCAGGCACCAGCACATGTTGGAGACCATTCAGCTGGAAAGCAGATCTGCAGAGAACACTGGGGTCCTGGTGTACAATAAACTGACCACCAGCCACCAATGCTCCCTCACAGCAAAGGCAGCTAAAGGTGTCCTGGGCTGCATTAGGAGCTGCCAGTAGGTTGAGGATGGTGATCCTTCCCCTCTTCTCAGCACTGGTGAGGCCACACTTGGGAGTATTCTGGCCAGTTCTGGGCTCCCCAGTACAAGAGAGACATGATTTACTGGAGGAAGTCCAGCACAGGGCCACAAAGATGATTAAGGGAGTGGAGCATCTCTCATACAAGGAGAGGCTGAAAGAGCAAGGCCTGTTCAGCCTAGAGAAGAGAAGGCTCGGGGAGTGCATGGGTGCATCTTATCAATGTGTGTAAACACCTGACGGGAGGGAATGGAGAACAAAGACACAGATTTTTGCCAGTATTGACCACTGACAAAGACAACAGGCAATAAGCACAAACTGAAACACAAAAAATTCCATCTGAAAACAAGAAAACACTTTTACTGTGAGGGTGATCAAACACTGAAACAAGTTGCCCACAACAGTCATGGAGTCTCCATTTGTGGAGAGTTTTGAGTACATTTTGAGTATGGAGATACTCAAAATCCAACTCTACACAGTACTTGGCAAGCTGCTTTGGCTGACCCTGGGAAACTCAAGGAGTTTCCTTGCAACCTAAATGATTCTGTGATAAGATAGTACACAAAATATCACATATTATATGTTTTATAGGTTCCTGGTTTTAGGTCTGGTTAAAAGAACTCATTGGCATGCACATAAAATTTTACTTTTACAGCCATTTTCACAGAAAATTAGAATTACTTGCATGAAAAAATAAGTTTCAGAGCAAGACCTTCCATAGCCACCAACAAACTTACCTACAATAATTAAAGACAGAAACACTGTTGTGATATTACATGAAAACAATGTTTTTGCTGTCCTGTTTCCCTGCAAAAATGGAAAGAAAATCTTCAATTACTGATTACCAATATAAGCTTCCACAATTTAAAGTCAATGTTTGCATTACACAGTTAATACAGGAATAACACAGTTAATACACAGGAAATATAGGCTTTCATTCTATAACTACCTTTTACTGACTTTTCAATTTGAGACAAATCCTTCTATGGAAGATTAACCATAAGAAAAGGTATTGGCACTGAAATCCATGCTCTTCCAAGATGAACACAAATACAAAAAATTCTTTTTTTTTTTCCCTTGCTATGTTTGTATCTTCCCATAGCCCATCTCATAGGGGTTTTTTATACCTGAATGATCTATTGGCTCTCAAGACTCTTTGGTAGGTTTCTTATTCCCAACATTTTTGGAGAAGGATCTATTAGTTGCATGCCTCTGATAAGTTGTTCCTTAACTTGGCCTGCCTTACTACTTTTTTCTATTCTGTCTACCACAGTTTTTACAGCACTGTGAAAGGACAATTCACAGTGCTGTAAAATTATTCAAACAGAGGGATGAGCAGGAGAACTCCATCCTATTGTGAAGAATCTTTAGTTGATCACCAGTTTCTACAATAGTCACTTTCGGCTGCTGTGTCTTACTTCACCAAACCAACTCAGAAACGTGCTATGTATTGAGTCACCCATACTGCTTCTTGCAGTGCCTGCTTTCTTCCTTCTTCCCCTTCTCTTTCCTCCTCCCTCACTGCAAATTTCAGCTCAAATTACCAGGCAGGTCTTTTCTTGCCTAACTGTAAGAAAAAATGACTCCCTGCAAGAATGCCGAGCATAAAAATAAATACACAAAACTTTAAAATCACTGGAGGGGGTTATGTGTGTTTATACAAAAGCTCCAGCCTTCTTCACTAATTGTGATGGACAGTAACTCTTAAAATCTCTAGTTTTCAATTTTAAAGAAGATTAAAATATCATAATAGCAATAACTGAAAGAGAAAATGGGACACAACAGACTCCACTTATGACCAGGTATTTTCTTTACGAGTTCTCTGAAACGCTGTTTTTTCATAAGCTCTGTTCCATTACAGCATTACCTCACTCGAGGTTTCTGTCTCACACATGCTCTCTCAAGCAGCTTTTTACCCCAGCAGCAGATTCACTACATGCAGCAGTAGTATTTTGCCATGTTCTGAAGGAAAGTCTTCCAGAAACCTGCTTCTCTATAAATTCAGTGTTCTTTCTATCTATTTAAATTTATAACTTGTCTTTTTGCCAACAGGGAAGACCTGCAAATATAGATAGCCCTGTGCAAAACCACACATACAAACTTCCCTGAGGAAACTCCTTGCCTCTGTCTTTTCATGAAGAAAAAACTTCAGTTTCTGTGGAAGGTATACCCAACAGCAAAATTAGGCTCTGCTCTGTGCATGCATTCATGCAATTCAGGATGAAAATAACAAACATATGATTACAGAGTCAAGTGCAAATGTTTTTCTTACCACACTCTGCCGTGACAAACAGCTAAATTTCTCCCTTTTTCCAGACATTTTGTCCACATCTTGAGCCTGTAATCGACCTGTGGAGCTTTACCACTCAGGACAGAAGTCAGCTGGAGTTATCTTTGTCCAAATTTGCCAGAAGGGAAAAAATTCAATGTATCTGAGGCCATGTCCATAAAGTTTCACCCTGAAAGGAAATATCTGTCTCAATTTAAGATTAAAAAAAAAAAAAAAAAAAGACAAGTGTCTGAAAGAGGTCTTCAATGATACATGCACCTGAATTACAATTACAGCATCCATGACAGCACGTAGTAAAGTATAATTCTCATTAAAATCTGTCATTAAACTGGTACAGCCACCTTTTCCTCTACTCTCTAGTCCCTTCAGAGTTGATCTACTCAATTAAAAAAAAAACAAACAAAAACCAACAAACAACAACCTAGTCTCATCAGAACTTTGAGCAATCATGGCTTTTACTCATTTTCGCACATTTGTGGCACTTTTTCTTTCATCTTATTCAAAAACACTGAGAGGTTGCAACATGCAACAGTTCCATTCTCAGAACTGAGAGAACTGACATAAAGTCAGAGTATCACACCATTTCTTTTACATAAGCCCATGAACATTTTAAATCATAAAAAAAGATATAATCATATTACCTCAGACGCTTCTATTACCTGCAAGGTACGCCATGCCTCTTCAAGAGAACATAATTGAGGGTCGTCTCACTTTTGATCTAGGAAGAATGATTACAAGAAATACACACGGTCTGTGTTGAGGCATAACTAACCGGTGCTGAAGCGCTGGGTTATCCCCCCACCCCACGCTGGGATGAAGCTACAAGACTGAGGCTGTCTCGATTCTGTGAACCGGTGACATCCCCCACCAGGTACGGCAGCCAAAGATTTTTTCAATGCTCTTCATTTAAATTCTCAGGTATTCTTGTAAACATCGACCTGAAAGGGGCTGTAGCTCCTCGGCGGGGTGAGGGGTGCCGGCGGTGGGGT